ATTTCAATCGGGGAGGCGGATTTTCGGCACTCGTCGAGCCTTAAACTCCCCGTTCGCTGCGTTCTCGCTGGGCGCGAACTCGTTACGATCGGCGGCCATAAAAACCCTACGGGACTTTCGGATTAAGCAGTTCAGACGGCGACGACTCGAGGGACTCCGTTGCGTTACCGAAGTCTCGTTTATACGTTTCCCCGTTTAACAACGACAGGTGGAAGGGAAAGGAGAGGGCTCTCTCGCTGCATCCCCCGACCGGCCGACGTTTCCGCGCCATGAATCCTTCGGCTTCGAAGAAGGCACGTAAGGGAATTTTTACGGCTCCCGGAACGCCGCTTTCTTTTATTTTTACGGGACATCTGGAAACGTTGATGGCGCAATTAACGGCCGGAAGTGCCGCGGCACGGTCAATATTGTACTCGCCTGTACTCGCCTACCTGCCTACCTCGCCTACAGTCCCAGAAGTCGTTACGAGTAACGAAATAATGAAGACGATCTTATCGCGAGCGACAGCTTTCAGCGAGAGGAAAGCCCCTCACCCCTTTCTCTCCCCTTCGTCGCTCGGAGACACGGTAGTATCCGAATTAATCGAACTTCGCGCGTTTTATCGCCGGGACCCGGAGGATTAAACGCGATCGGTCATCGGGAACAAATCACGGAAGGGGGGGAGGGGAAGCAGTAGCAGAAGGAGGTGGCGGAGGAGCGGGGGAGGGGAGAAATGAATAGAAATCGGCGACCGCGAATAAATGCGAAGAGCAGAGCTTCAATTGTCGACGACCCCCGCGATGGGGAGAAGAAGGAGGGAGGGGGAAGGCGACGAGTGAATGGAAATTGCAATAATTCAAAGCGCGATTCGAGCGCAGCCCGAGTGACTAACGTATTGTATTATAAAACAATCCGCTCTCCATTGGAGCGCGCGCACTGTCGCGCGCACTCGTCCGGAATGGAAATTTCGAATTTTCTATTTCATCCCCCGCATCGATCGACCGATCGATCAATGTACTCTCGACGGACGGTGGCGGATAATTAGCGTCCGTGGTCTCGCGCGTTGTCGCGACTCCGCTGCTCGTCGGAAGGAGGAGGAGGGGGGGAGAGCGGGAGGAGGGCGGTGACTTCGTCCGAACGAAACTCCTCGTGCTCGTCGAGCCGCGTAACTACGGATTGCGATGTCGCGGCGCAAGGTTACGGAGGGGTCGCGCTGAAGCCGGGACATTGTTAACAGCATTGCTGCCTAATTAACCGCAAACGCTTTCAGCGGGTTTCGCCTGGTCTATTGTTTACATGCGGGCATGCCGCCTCTCTGTACGCGGATGGTACGTATACGCGCGCTCCTCGGTATATACGTGCGCGGAGAGACCGCGTGGGCTCCTCTCCGCGACCGAAGCAGCTGAAATATTTCTATGGAGATTCTCTCGCCCTTTGTGACGCGACCGCTCTCGGACGGATATGTACGTTTCGCCGCGTTTCCATGCGTGCCTGCGACACCTCGCGTCGCGGAAACAACGCGTGATAATGATGCGATCGCGCCTCTTGAGCGTAGTCTCTCTCTCTCTCTGTATAGGTTGCCCCGTTATTTCCGTTTCTTTTGCAATCCGATTTGACGGGTTCATTGTCGACTTGAAAAATCCGGAAAATCGAAAGATGAGAGCAGCGACGATTTTACTCCGCGCGTTTGCCGTCGCCGGTACTCGATAATCGAAATATTCCTGTGCCCGGTGTTTCCGTAACCTTCTACCGCGGACTTCGCTCCGCGGCTCGGCGCACAATGGGTGTAACTACCGTTTTCCGTGAGGGACTCCGCGGCATCGTTAGTCGTGTACGCGACAGAACAGATCCCCCACGCAAGTGTGTGCGTGGAAATCTTCGGGAGAGGACGAAGGGAAGGGAGGGAGAAAGAAAGAGAGGGAAAGAGAGAGAATCTCGAGTCTCGGAATAATTTAATAATCTCGCAGTCTGATTGCGGGAAAACAATCAGATTGGAAAATTGGTTGCCCGCTTGGTCCGGGGAGCAGCCGCGCTTAAGTTCGTGCTCCCTCCGGTATGAACATTGTTGACTCCACCTGAGCCAATAAGCACTCGAGTGCTGCTATATCGCCCCGTTATGCTACCCGATACTCTTGATTTTTGGGATCTCGTTAGCTCGGCGAGCTCACCGCGAGATGAAACGTTGTCGTTGTCATCGTCGTGCTCGCGCGATGCAATTGAGGAAAGCGGGGTACGATGATAATTTGCCAATTTGTCTGAGCTAACAATAAATAACGGGTCGATGTCTCGTTAGAGGATTTCAATAATAATAAATAATCCGCTGTAGTTCGACCTCAATCTGTCGCCGACTAAATAATATAATAAGAAATGTATTTTGAATATACTTTTATGCAATTTTGTGGTATTCCTTCATAAAGTATTACCCAATTATAGTAAATATTTTCACCTCCTCTATATATTCTATGTAGAATTATTGTATGATGTGTCTAAAAATTCACGTGATAACGTAATATTATTTTTCATTTCTCATATTGCATTATTATGTTTCTTTAATGGATAAATAAATATAGTGACTATAAGATAAGATGACGAATATCATATGCAGACGATGTATAGTGCATTTGTACACATTTTGTTTCATTCTAAATTACATTACACAAAGGACAATTGTAAATAATTGTTATTTTTGTTCTTGTCTAGATTTTATTTTCTTTAAGCTGCCTTGTCACAAATTCTCATATTTTGTAAATAATATAGATATAAAAATAATTTCGTAAATAATATAGATATAAAAATAATATAGAAACGAAAATTTTGCAGAAGAAATTATCTTATAGAGGCATAAAAAATTTATTTTCAACTTTCGTTATATCTTATCCACGTAACATGACGACGTTGATACGTTCTCAAAGAATTTTTATCAAACGAAATTCCAATTTATTTATAAATTTTTTCAGCTTTCGCAGATGACAAACAAGGCTTGGGCTACTCAGAAAAAATTGACCGTTATTTTTAAACCGTTATTTTTACGTCGTTGTACGAAAATGAGGAGAGATCGACAAACCTTAAGGTCATCTTATTCCCCTCACCCTCGCGCTTCTATAGGTACACGAATGCGACCCTGATCGAAAGGGGCCTGCGGGATTCAACCATTCGCGATTTTATTACGTTCTCTTTTATTCATATTTTATATATCCCTCTTTCTCGTAATTTATACACAATTTCTCTCTTTATCACCACGACTCCTCGCGAATCGTCGGGAGAGAGAATCTATTAGCAGTCTTTTCATCCCTTTCGCTCTCGCGCTCTTCCCCCCGCGCGCTCCCTTTTGCGTGCCCCTAACGGCCCCGGGAAGAATTACTTCCATTTTCCTTTGTCCACAAGGAAGCTGCTATCGCGATAAAAGGTTCCCCGGCGAAATAAGTTATTCATAATCAATACTGCGTGAGCCCCGAGACGAAGGCGTAGCGTGCTCGTGATTCAAAGATCGTCCGTAAATCAATCGTCCGCGTCATTAATTTTATACTCCGGCCAGGGTGGCGTAGAGGAGAGGAGAGCGCGAGGGGTAACTCATTAATTACATCATCCGCATAATAAATCCGCGGTGAAATCGCGAGCCGGGATACACGCGTCCTCCGTTCTCTTCCGGGGGGTCGTTTTCGTACCCACCGCCTCTCGTTCTCTGACGCGACCCGCTCGCTCGCTCGCTGGCCAATTAGCTAGCTCATCGGCTAGAAAAGCAGAAAGAGAGAACGCGCTCGTGTGCGTCCCGCCAGAACGCCACGTTCCGCCAGACACGCGAGAAAGTCTTCACGCGAGCGATGCGCGATGTAACTGTGGCCGTGAGATCGCTCGTGATAACTCCTGGTGGGTATGACGATAGAAATAAAGATGTATCAGTGACACGGAAGAAGGGAATGAATGAAAATGGAGAAATGAAAGGGGAGGAGCGAAATGAATAAAAATAAACACCGGGGAAAGTCGAGGGATCGAGTCTCAAGATTGCGCAAATTTCATTGTGCGAAATGCAGTCAGCCGTGAAAAGTTTAAAGAAACTGAAGCGAAAAATAGTCGAAAAAGGTGAACAAATTTTTTCTTCCCACAGTGTATTCCTCCTCCGAAACCGCTTAAAATGTGCTCTGAACACAGTTCTTATATCATTGAAAGGAGATATTTAGGTGTTCTTCTTATACTGAAATATCCTGTATATATATTGTCTAGTATTAATCAATTGAATCGTTTTGTTGTCTATTTAAGGTAAAAATATCAATGCCTGGATACGTATCTAGCTCTGGATATGCTCGTTGTTTCAGTCTTTAGATATGAATATTCAAATTTCCAATGTGGAATACATATGTATAAATTGAATATATATAAATATTTTAAGTTTAATTATTAAACATTTGTATTTAAAAATCAAAACAAGAATGTCAGGTGCAGTTAGATACGCATCTTTATTGTTGTTTCCGTTCAATAAATGGATTTTACGCAACTTCTGTACGTAGAAAAAGCGTTACACCTTTATTAGGATTCCAAGTAGTTTTACTCTTCAATCATTAGACAGAAGTTAATATTAAAAAGTTAATATAAAGTTAATATAACTGTTTAGTAACTACACAAAAAATCCATGAAATTTCCACCAGGGTGGTGTAAGTATTTTTTCAATTCTACTTCTCATTAGAAGGTTAAGCCAATCAGCGATAAATACGATTAATAATTTATTCGGTCTATTTCACGATCGCTTCGTTGCATTTTGTTGAACGTTTTGCACGAACGAGAGCTTGACAAACACCGGAATTGTGCCGGGAGACGTGGATCAATTATTTCTTTACCGCCTTGGAATTCAGTTGATTTCATTCGATTCAAGTTGCTTCGATCTCCTCGCACGGCAAATGATCGGCATGCGATAAGCAAAATAACTATAAACCGACATACGAAACCAAATAGTCGGATGAGAATGAAAATGTACGAAGCGAAGAGACACAAAAGCGAGTGACAATTTCGCGATTGCTGTTCAACAGGCTGCGGCAGGACAAGGCCGGCGGCGCCTGGTGTCCGCGTAACATGGTCACCAAGGAGGGCAAGGAGTACCTCGAGGTGAACCTGCACAGTCCGCGGCTGCTGACATCGACCAGGACGCAGGGCAGATTCGGCAACGGCAACGGGGTCGAGTACACCGAGGATTACTTTATCGAGTATTGGCGGCCGGGGTTCAACAAGTGGGTGCGATGGAAGAATCGACGTGGCAAGGAGGTAGGTACCATCTGGCCGGGTCATCGATCGAATCACGTCCCGAGATTTCTTTCCCGGGGACCGTAAGCCGAAATTGACTGCGCGTCTGCGAGTCTGCCAGGTATTAGGTGATTCCCCGAATTTCTTTATCGGCGTCTGCGTGCGCGCGCCTCTCGACGGAATACGTGAGCTCTCGCGGCAGGGGATTCACGAATCCGAGATAAATAGATAGGTGGAGAGAGAGAGAGAGAGAGAGAGAAATAACGTTTTATTACGCACTTTAAGTCAGTTTTTTTCCTCAAACAAAAAGTACACACGGTAAACAATTTTGTATTAAACACGCTCCTCTGAAATTTTGTGCTACTTTAACATGGGGAATCCCGAGTCCCGACACCGTTTCTGATACATTTTTTACTGTGCATAAAAGAAAAATATAGAAACTTTAGAACTAGTATCGTATAATATAAAGGAGTTAACCTGTAGATCAGTAATAGAAACAAATAACGTATTATTATCTCTACAGCAAGATATAATAACAATAATAATAGACGCAATACTTGAGAGAGGGATCAGTATCAGGGAGAAAGACAGAAAGAGAGAGAGAGAGAGAGAGAGAGAATCTTTATGAGATAATAGGTGTGTATTCCACGAACTCTCCTCGATAATTACCGCGTAATTACCCTCCTCGTGACTCTCTTTTATCTCTGGCGAATGTTTCAAAAGCGTCTGAGGTTATTCGCGCGGCGTTCAGGTATGCGCGCACGCATAGACACGCTACCTGACGCTTATATTTGCATTCGTCGTTAATTCATCGTCCATCGAGATATCGTTTTATTAAAGCTATCGTATCAAGTGCACATTAATTTGTTAATATTTGTTAATTGATGAATGCACGCTCCAGATAATCTTAACGCGGAATCGAGATTCATTGTTTTCCGCCGCAGCTTCAAAATGTGATTAATTTCTGATTGCGTAAATGATACCGTAATAGATTCAAAGGCCCGGTCATTACGTAATTGTTATCGCGTTGTTATATTCGTTCGGCAATCATTTGCGACGCGAACGCGAGCTCGACGATCGTAAATGCGTAAGAATCTTCACGGCGAAGCAACGGCCGGGCTTGACGTCCTTTCACTTTTCGCGAAACGATGCGAGCGAGCGCCCACTTCATTCACGTTAGTTGACTTCGGCACGATCAAAAATCATCCGCAATCGGATATCATTTTCAATCGGCGCTCGCGGGCAACACGCGCCGAAGTTCGATTCTTCCCGACGCTCCCCCTCTTCGCGCGGACGATTTTTATGCAGACGTTATATACGCGGGCGGGCGGGCGCGCGCGTGGCAGGAATTGAAGATGAAATATTGGAAATTCGCGGGGCGAAATTTATTTTTCCGCTAAGAGATCTCATCATTTCGCGTCATATTGCGAAGACAGATTGATCGATACAGACACATTCTCACACACACACACACACACACACGCGCGCGTACAGAATGGCGCACATGGTTCAAAATATGTGGATAAACGTTCACATGGTTCGCGTTCGCGCTAATCCTATAGCATATCACGAAATAAATATTCGTCCTTTCAGAGGCGTAACTGAATATGCGTATATGTACAAGGGGGTGAGGCAATAGCTATTACGCTTCGAATATATGTCCGAAAAATAAAAATATTTTATTAAAAGTACTTCAATTTCCGTTTTATTAAAGATATTTTATTAACGACTAGGTGAAAATGAGAAAAGTTTATATTTATTACAGAAGATATTCGAAGTGACGGTAAAAAAATTTGTGTTAAATTTAATACATTTCTCGTGTCCCAAACTATCTACTCAAATTTGTGTGTTAATTTAACACAAGGTGAATATGTTGAAAAGTAACGCGAACATTATGTCAAAAATTAATACAAAATTAAATACGTTAATCGACACTGAAGTATAAAATGTGTTATTTTAATACTTACGCATGTTGAATATCGACACAATACAAAATGTTGAAACAACATAAACAGATATTAAATTAACACAGGTATACTAAAAATTTAACACAAAAATTATAACAAGGGCCGATTTTGACACGAATAAAATAATGTTATTTTCACCGACACAAAATTAACAAGTACAAAATGATTTTTTGGTGTGTTAGTACACTGAAAGTAAAATTATTTTACTTGAATTAAATAAATATTATTTAAATATAACATTTTTTTCTTCCAATGTGCTACATTTAAATAATATTTGCAGTAAAAATTTTGTGTTAAAAACGGTCTGCTAAAATGTTGTGTTACTTTAAAATGGGGAATATTTTCAAAAATACACAAATTGTATATGTTAAAAAGTATATAATTATTATGTTAAATTAACACTTTCACCTTGTCAACATATATTAACAATTCTCCGTGTTAAACCCATGTATATTTTCCACGTTACAGTAACAGAAAATTTCAATGAACCATTTGTAACACACAATTTTTCATCATGTACTTAATCCAAATAAAATGCTCCAATATTCCTCAGCAAATCTATATACGTGAATGCAGCACTTTTATCTTTCGGTGTATCGATGGAATTTCTTGTTAGATACATTTTTCTCTCCTTCTCTCACAAAATTCGAAGATATTCAAAGCGGTAATAGCTCTTGTCTCACCCTGTATATATTACACAGATCGCCGATTCTCTCCCGCGCGTAGTTGTTGCACAGCTGGATATTAATGTCCGTATTTCGCTCTTCGTGCGCACACGTCGCTACATACGTCGAGGGGAAATTAGCGGGGTCCATATGGGGAGCCGGCTCGATTTCCTGGATTTAACTCAAGTTCCCTCCCCTGACTTATTCAGCGCAGTTACAAATTGATAAAGCCAGTGCCGTCTGATTTTAATCCGATACGCGGGGAACGTAAAATCCCTCTCTCTCTCTCTCTCTCTCTTTCTCCCCATCCTATTTTATCTCGCGCTAGCTTTCTCGTGCGCGTACGCAACCGTAGCGCTTTACGATCCGCCGCATTCCCTAAATCTTGATACGATTGATCACGCGAAAATTTTACGGCCGTTCCCCGCGCGGGAATTCGCCAAATTTGCTTAAGGATTTATATTTATCTACCGTTCGCCGCTTCGATCTTTCTCTCTCTCTCTCTCTCTTTCTCTCTCTCTCTCTCTCTCTCTGCAGCATAATCACGCGCGACTACACGAAAATACAAAATAGCGGGGTTTTAGTGGTGCGGTTCCGCGAGAGACAAAAGCGCCCGATCTATATGTAACCACGTATGTTAATTTCGTCTCCGGCGAGAGTCGCAGCGCGTCCGCCGGCCAGTGGAAACGCAATCGCTTGACCCGACGGTCCGACATGGATGACTTACTCTACTGTTGAGACATGATCCGTGACGACCCGTACTCTCACGAACGTCTGTCCAGATGTTAATTTAATGAGGAAATTAGATAATTACGTCTCTTTATATAATTTATGCACTCTTCGAAGATATAATAATAACATGTAAATTTTACACTTCACTGGTTAAGACAGTTAATCCGTGGTAATAATGTTAGAAAGGTAATAGTTAATAGAACGTGAAGAAGCTCGCAGAATCTGTGCGAAATGTTTATAAACGTGATTTATGACGTGCAGCTTTGACTCTGCAGTAAGAGAATATCAATCAAACTTACATAATGTTTAAACATTCCTAAAAAAAGTAATGTTTCCTCGCACTCGAGAAATGATCGTGATTGAAATGCCGGACTTTGCCGTATTTGTCCGTGTTTTCCGCATTTTGCACATGAATTATAAGACTTTTAAGATTATTTTACAATATTCTATTATTAAAAAATACGTAACTACGAGACATAAAATAAAATGGCGCGTAAAATATTGTTAAATCTTTAGAGGTTAGCCGTCAAGTGCTTCAACCATTATCAGAAATTGTATACTTTACATAACAATTTCTGCTAAACTGAACGATGGTCGATGATTTTGTAATCATTTTATAATGTTTCTACACGTCTCTTTTATCGTCTTCTAATTTTCCATTAATACCGTAAGATTAGTTTGATCGCTAGAATTAAAAACATGATATCGGAAATCGTTTCCGTGATCCAAATAGTGTTAACTTATACTTCAATTATCTCAACTTTGGTATGGTGAATCTTTATCTAATTTTGCATATGTGTCGATCGTGTTTCGAGACTTGTCTTTTGAAACGTAAAAATCATAATGGCCGCAGAGCTTTCCTAAAGAACTGAGAAATATTGACAATTATATAACTCCATCATTAAATTTATATCACACCCGAGATCGTGGCTGCCCGTTCTTTATTATCTCGCGTTTCACGCGGCTCCGGCTGTACAATAATTGAATCGGACGAGCATAAATTCCGAATTAGCGCACGCTTGCCGTCGCTTTTGCTCTCTTACGAGTGGGAATAAGAATTTTACGAGGCACAAAGCGGTATTCGCAGTCCACTCTTGTATTTAAGATCGTTCTTAAGTTCATCCTCAGATGCCGTGTAGCCACTGAAACGGCCCTTGGCATCTGAGAAATGAACTTGAAAAGATCTCAAATATAAGATCGGACTGTCAATATCGGCATAGTCTCGTTTTTACATCCGTCTTTAAATATTCTCTCATTCCCCGACCAATTACCTTTCCGTTTTCCCGCGATATTCTCCCGCCGCGCGTCTGCCTTCGACGTGTCGTGTTTCACGGAGTGTAATAAAACTCATCCGGATCGTCCGTCCCGGTCGCAAAATTCGCCTCGATAATATCACCTCCGCCTCCTCTCCCCCTCCTCCCCCTCGTCCACCAGTTCTTCGTTTCGTTTCGCGGGAGACGCGTGGACACGCGCGACATACGGCCGTCGCGCAGATGAGAACCGCTGTCCCAGTTGAACGGCCATTACCGGATGCGACGTGTTAATTAACGTCTCTTTAGCATGATAATCCGTACGCGATATCCATTAGCCCGTCAAAATACATCACGACGGTTAAGCGACTCGCTCGCGGCGACGAAACTACCCGTGCGCGAGTGCG